GAGTGAGTGTTGGAAATGAAGTCAAAGGAGGTCGTGAGAATATAAATTGCTTTTCCCCTCCCTTTAGAAGATTTACAGTAACACTTTTTCCTTGGAAAGAACTTGTAAGCCAGGATTGTGAATCATGTGCCTTTACAGGATGGAGGCAGCAAACCTGGTTTTGTCACTGTTTAATACTGAACTAAGAGAAGGTGTGAGAATCATGGAATCACAGACTGGTTTGGGTTGGAAGGGACCTTAAATATCATCCAGTTCCACCCCCTTGCCATGGGCAGGGACACCTTCCCCTAGACCAGGTTGCTCAAAACCCCAACCTGTCAGAATTAATTGAAACAGTGCAAACAGCAGAGGTCTATTTATAGATGTTTTCTGGGGAAATTGGGGTGGTTTTGTTTGTTTTATAAGTGTTAGGATCAACAGGAGGACCCATCAGTGATGGCCATATCATGATCAGTTATGAGAAGCACAAATATTTAACACTCAGAATTGTTCTGTGCTCCCTGACTCCAGTGATTCCAGCATTTGAGACATTGCCTCCTGTGCAGTTCCCTCGAATTGGAGGGACTGGAAGGAAGGGCAGTGATGGATGACAGATTCCTGAGGGTGGGATGGAGGCAGAGAGGGGTCCTGCTGCTTCTGGGAATGTGGAGCCAAAGGGTCAACCTTGGAGATGCTGGAGCAGTGAGTGGAACGTGGAGCATTTTTGTAGGGCTGCTGAAATAAAGCACAGCAGGATTTCAGGGAGAGGGATTTCCAGGGGGAAACAGCACTGAAATGTGGATTTGCTGAGTTTTATGACCTGAGAGAAAACCAAACAGCACCAGCTAACAAGGTGGCAGAGGGAGAGCAGCAGGAGGGGTGGTGGGCTCAGCACTCAGTGAGCTCCAGAACTGGAGGATTGTGTGAGGGAGAGAGCAGGACCAAGGGAACAGAAGCCCAGAAATGGGCAGTGAGGTGGAACGTGTTTGAGGCTTGTAACTAAGGAGGGGGAATGGATGTTAAATGAGAAGAGCAGAGAGGTACAACTGCCTGGAGCCAAAATGATCCTGTTGGCTGGAGTTTGAGAAGAAGTGGAAGAGAGTCCCTGGCTGCTCTTTGCACTGGAGCAAATGTTGTGGCTGTGTTCAGGCTGGCAGGGATGAGTGATGCTAATGGTAGTCTGGGAAGGAGCTCAGAAGAGAGCCTTGAGTGATTATGAAACCAAATATATAAATAAATGCTCTCCCCAGTCAGGTTAAATAAGATCTGGAAGATAATAATGCTGTTTCTTGAGACATTTGTTTATTAATGTTGTTGTGGAGGTGGTTTTGTGGTGTTTGCTGCAGCTGTGGTGGGTGAGCAGAATGTTAAATTGCTCTTTTTATGGCCAAGGAAATAATTTTATGGGATTGATCTTCTGATCACAAGTGGATTTTATTCTTATTGAAGTTCAAGCCAGATCTCTGAGTATTGTGCTATTTACAAACCTGGAAAAACAAGAAAACTTGCTCAAAAGGTTCACTGGGCAGAGGAGCCCAAGGATTTGAATGTGGCTTAAGACTGAAAGGATTTTAAATAGTCATGTTGCATGAAACTTCTTTTTTTTTTCCCTAAGCAAAAATAAAATTCTCTGAATAGTTGACATCTCATATGGGATATTAAGAATAAATACAAGGTAGAAAAGTATCGTTTTCAGAGGGAGAACTATGAGTCAATGTTAAAATGGTTTTGATCTCCAAAAAAGGTGAGAATAGTCAAAGACCAGTTGGATTTGGCAGATCCCCATGTGCAGGAAATGTAAAACTAGTGCAAAGAAGGCTCTAAAACACAGGGTGTGAAGAGGGGAGAATGTAGTGAAGGTTGAGAATAATCCTACAGATGGTCCAAATGGCTCATGAGAGCCCTTGGATTTCCAGTGAAGAGGAAGTATTTTATTAATCATGGAGTCCTGGAATGGTTTGGGTTGGAAGGGACCTTTAAAGTTCATCTCATTCCACCCCCCTGCCATGGGCAGGGACACCTTCCACTGGCCCAGGTTGCTCCAAGCCCTGTCCAGCCTGGCCTTGGACACTTCCAGGGAGCCACAACCTCTCTGGCATAATTATTAAATAGATAATTGGGATAATTAATAAATTCAGAGATTGGGAACTGAGGTGATAACAATAAAGAGGCAAGCACAGTTTGAATTTCTTAGTGTACAGTGCCTGGGACCCAGATAGTTTTCATACTGGAATATTGGGGTGTATTTAAATAAAAATATCAAAGACATACATAGTACCTCTATATAAGAATAGCACAAGATCCACTCTCTGTAATTACTTGGGAATTGCATTCAGCAAATTCCCAGGAATTGCAGGGGTCCAGAGCACTGGTGCTGCTGCAAATGCCACTTGCTCTGGAGGTTTGAGTGACTCCATGGGAAGGAGGTTTGGAAAAGGTCTTTGTGTGGCCTCTGCTCTGTCGAAAAGACAAAGTTACAGTTTGGAGGATAAAAAACCTTTCCCTGAGGCTGTGTTTAAGGTTAAACTTTAATTCCCTCCTCTCCAAATTTACAAATTTCATCTTTTCTGAAAGGCCTGGGAGCCCCTTGGAGCACAGTTAATTTTATGCACTCATATATCACAGAAATTGTGGCAAAGGATGTCGGACACTTTGAGTGTTTTTCCTCTTGGTGCAAATTAAACTCAGTCAGGTGGTGCCTGGATGGGAGGAAAGGTTTTATTTTAACAGCTGAAACTCTTAACCTGCTTTCAGGAGCAGGAAGGTAAATTACAGAGCCAAAAACCTGTGATAAAAAGCTGGTGCTAGGGGAGAGAGATGAAGCAGAAGATCTTATACAACCCTTTGGGGAACCTGAAGGGGGTTTGTTTCTCCATAAATGTATGTACAAAGATGATATTTTTTTTCTCCTCTTCTATATAATTAGTTTAAAATGTGATGACATAACAAAACATCCCTGGCACCTGAGCAAAAAACAAAGGCTGGGGCTTGCAAAAAGGAGGTGCTTTAAATGTGCAGTTTTCCGTGCAGAGCAGTTGGTGCTGGTGAAATTCAAGTTAATATTGGCAGGTTCATCTCAGCCTTCTGGACTAATGGCAAGTTTTTGAGCTCTAGATGTTCTGGTTGGCTGGATTGTCCATTTTGAGCACATGGAGCCTTCCAAAAAGGCACTTCCACTTGGGGTGGAAGTGGGGTCACAGAGTTGTGTGTTTGAAATTGGTTTTATACTGGGAACAGCAGTGAGAACCTGGGCACCTGCCCAGCTCAGCCCTTGCACAGGGTCTTATTATATTATATTATATTACATTATTATATTATTTTATTGTTATATTATTACACACAGTGTTCATTTTGTGTGTCTGAGCCCTTAGTTCTGTAAGGAATTAATTGCTTGTGTTGGAATTTGCTGCCAACATAAGCTTTGGAAGAAATTCTAAAAAAAAAAAAAAAAAGCCCCCAAAATCAATCAAAGAAATAAAACCACCAATCCCCCAACCCCTAAACAACCCAAACAGCTTTAAGCTGATAAATTATTTGTTTCTTTTTCTACTGGAAAATTAAAAATGCAAAGTCATGTTGACTTGGATTCGAAGAGCCTGTGAATTGTAGTTAGGGAGGGATTTTTCTGTTTGTGTTTTAACCTTAGTAATTACAGCTACTACAGTGACAACCATTTATTTTTTGAAATGGCTGATCTATGGATTTTAAGCCCAATAAACATTGCCTGCTGCCAGAACTCCCAAAACTGAGCACCAGGCTGTTCCTAAGCAATTAAATGTTGTGGCTCAGGCCTGAGCTCCCAGTGACTCCATCCCTCCTGGCAGGAAAACTCATTAGCCATGGAAAGATATTTCCCCAGGGAATTGGATTTCTGCATTTCCAACCAACACAAGAGGCAGAGGCAGGTTTGGGGCTCTGGGATGGGGCAGGTGGGGATTTGGGGAGCAGCTGCATTTTGCTTTTTGAACCCAAGTTCTCCCCATAAAGGAGAATATCTCGTTATTCATTCTCATTGTGTCACCATCTTATTCAAACTTCTGCTCTCTATAAAATAAATGTTTCTAAGTGAAATAATTGGGCACTGGGCAGGTAGCACTGGCACTCTGGCACAGGTTTTCCTTCCCTGGAGATACACAAAACCTGTCTGGACACAGTCTGTGACTGTTCCAGGAGACCCTGTTTGAGCAGAGAGGTGGGACTTGATGGTCTCCAATGGTTCCTTCCAGCCTGAACCATTCTGAGATCCCTGTTTACACATCACAGGTGCACATGTATGTGTAAAAAAATAAAAACTAATGGAAAAGAAACTCTCACTTCTGGCCAAAATGTGCTGGTTTGCCCCTAGAATCCCAGACTAGTTTGGGTTGGAAGGGACCTTAAAGCTCATCTCATTCCAACCTGTGGCAAGGACACCTTCCACTGGCCCAGGTTGCTCCAAGCCCTGTCCAGTCTGGTCTCATCCCTTTCTTTAATTTTTAGGAAGTCCTGATTGTTTCAAGGTAGTTGGAATTCAGCTTCCAGGGGGAAAATGGAAGTGTTTCAGGGTGGTGCTGAGACAAGAGTGAGCAGTAGAGAAGTGGGGTGTTCCTGGCTCTGGATGGCTTTGTCACCACCCACGCTGAGGGCTGAGGAGCTCTCAGAGGTGCTGAGGTCACTCTGGGCCTCTGGGGGCTCTTCTGGCTCGGGTTAAAGCAGCTCCTTCGTTCCTCTGTGTGAGAGCTGCCAGAGCTCAAACCAAACTTCCCTTGTAATAAAGTCTGTCTGGGGCTGGGGGTTCTGCTCCTGTGAAGAGCTGCAACTGTCCCGTGGCAGAGGGGTTTGGCCTGAGAGATTTGGGGTGAGTTTGCCTGTGGCAGGTCGTGGTGCCTCCCTGAGACCCCCGTGGGGCAAACAGGGCTCTACTCCGGCCGTGTGCGAGCGGAGCCAACAGTTCTTGGAGATGGTTCATGCTGACATTTGGGTTCTGCAGCCTGCTGGGAGTTGTTCATGTGGTTGTTAATGCTTTGGCTGTGCCCCTGCAGGTGGAGGCACTGACCCACCAGCCCAGAGCCACCACGGTGCACGCGGTCAGGGACTCCGAGCTGGCCAAGCTGCCCGAGGGAGCCCTGATATCCATCAAACGCAAGTTCCCGCAGGTAAGAGGATTAAAAGTGTTGCTCTGTCTGTCTCAAAGATGTCTGAGAGGCTCAAACTGCCCCTGAGCACTGAGTCCTCTGGGTTTGCTGGTTGACTGATGCATGCTGAGAAAACACTGTGTTCTCCTCGGCTGCCGGAGCGGATCCAGCCCAGACTCCCACCAGCCTTTCCTCCTCTGTCTCCTGATCAGCTGGAGTTTTATTGCAGGGCTGGCTTGGGTATCTGGAAGAAATTCTGCTTAAATGCAGGATGTGCATATTTAGCAAAGTGGAAATCACTTAGTGCTGCTGATAGGAAATGGAAGTTTGACTTCTAAAATCACTTTAAGTTGTTGTTGCTCATTCATCCTCCCCGCTGGGGCTCCGAGTCAGCACTTGTTTCTGTGTACCTTTATTTCCAGAGCTTTGATATTTGGGGGTTGGCTTTCTTCTTCCTGCCATTTTAGGCTGTCAATCCTCATTCTGCAACTGCCAGAGCTGTCTGTGTCCTAAAGACTGTGATTGCTCCCTTTGAATCCATCAACTCATCCATCTTCTTTAATTCATTTGACATTATACCTCTCCCCTGCAAATCTGGAGACTGACGGACTTGAAATTTAATTCTTTGGTCCCTAAGTGCATCAGGGACATTAAACTAAGCACTAAATCATTGCACTGGCCTTAGAGGCAATTCTTTAATGCTGTTACTTCAAATTATTTCTGATTTTTCTTTTTGCTGTCTTTCAGACATAGACTTTTTTACTAGACTGGATAAAAAACCCCCGCCACCCTACAAAAATAACAAACCTAATTAAAATACTTGCATTCTTTTGCCTTCCTAGGACCTGTAATAACTTTTAAAATTATTTTTTAACTGTATAATGTAAAGCCTGTGTTTCATGCATTTTCAGGTTACCAAAGTGTGGGGTTTTGTCTGTATTATTGCCAGGATAATTTAATCATTTTGAGTTTCACTGAGTGTTCAGGAGTTATGTCAATGAAAAATAATCTTCTTTCTGGTTCCCCTGTAAGCATTATTTTTGCTTCAGCGTTTCTGAACTTCTCTTGGAGGTCGTTAAGGCAATTCCTGTCCCTGGAGTTCACTTGAATAGTCCTCTGAGTCCATTCCTCTCTATTTAATGTAAGAGATTTCCTGCCCAGTGGATGAACTGGGAGCAGGGTGTAAGCTCTGCACAGAACTACCCCAGACTGGGTAGGACAGTGTGACCTCCTCTCTGGGATGGCCCTTTCAACTCTCACTCTCCTTGTGACTGATCAAGAAGGGAGGAAACGACCAGGGAGAATTTAAAACCACCTTCCTGCTTGCTCAGCAGGTGATTTCAGTGTTACTGATAAACATGGAGGCTGTAAATTACCAGGACCATGGTTTGGGTTGGAAGGGACCTTAAAGCTCATCTTATCCCACCCCCTGTCCTGGGCAGGGACACCTTCCAGCAGCCCAGGTTGCTCAGAGCCCAGTCCAACCTGGCCCAAACATTGAGCAGTGCCTTGAAGGCTGCTCTGCACAAAGGCTGGGTTCTAATTCTGCCTTTTTATCTGGGGCAAGAATTTATTTCAGTGTCTCTTTTCTCTCTCTTCCCCCTTCCCATTCTGCCAGCTGGCAGAGTTGTTTTCCCCTGAAGAGTGATCTCTGTGGAGCTGTGAATCTCTTTGCTCTGCAGTTCAAGTTGAGCTCGAGTGTTACATTTATAGTACAAATCAAAACATTTATTTGTAAGAGAATTCAAATGTCTTCCCATGTTCTGAAGAATACAGCCTCAAATTCCTGACCTTTTTCAGTGTGGAATTGGTTTTCTCTAGACTTGCATATTGTGTGGCTAATTACTTGCAATGAAACAGAAATGCTAAAATAGATATTTTAAGGAAATGTGTTGCAAAAAAGGTTGTTAGAAAAACACACTTGTGCTGCTGTTTGAGGTCTCCAACTTCTAAATGGATGTTAAACTGGTATAAAAAATGTGAGAACTTAGATTATTTTTTTTCTATGGGATTATTTTAGAACCAGCACTAGAAATAGAAAGAGGAGCATAAGATAGACTTTATGTAGGTGATTTGTGCAGTTAATGCCTTCAGACTCTCTTCAGAACTTGAGATAAAATGTTTTTATAAGATTTCAGAGTCCTTGTGCCTTGGTTTGGGGTGGAAGGGACCTTAAAGCTCATTTCATTCCACAATAGGTTAGAAACTTTGGAGATAAGTAGAACATACAGAGTCAACTTTAAAGGATTTTACTGGAGAGAAGTGTTTGAGCTGAAAACTCATGAACTGCATCCAGAGGACAGGGGCTGGGTAGCTGTTCCTTAGAAAAAGGATCCAGGCATTGGAGAATCAAAAGCTGCCCATGCCAGGACAGTGTCAGGCAGTTGCAAAAAAATGAACTATGTTAACAAAAGGCTTTTTGGAGTGAAGAAATCCTGACATTCTCCCTGATACTGGAAAAGCTTCAGCACCAGCCTGTGGCAGCACCTTTGAAGGCAGAGGCAGAGCAAAGGAGGAGTCTGGAGGACAAAAAGGCAGCTGAGTGCTGGGTAGAAATACTGCCCTATAAAGACAAAAAGCCTGTGAAAGGTTAGGGGAAGATGTGGTAGCTATTTTCAGACATGTAAAGTTGTCTTCTGCTAGAAAGGGCAGAAGCTGCTCATGATACTGGAACGGAGCAGGTGGGACTGAGCTGAAAGGGCAGCAGTTGGGTGGTGAGAAAAAGCTGATTCTGCTCCCTAGAAAGACTAAAAGATTGTTGCTTGTTTTTATAACCTCCTTTAAAATGATCGTTGAAGTGATTCTTACTGCAGAGCAGAGGGATGGGCCAGATGAATTCTCTCTGTCCTATTTTCACAGCTGTTATTCTGATGGAGTGATTTATACCCAGGTTTATGATGTTGTTTTCCCCATTCAACCAGAAGTAATAAAGTAATGAAGGGATAGCAGGTGCAATAGTTCTGAAATAATCAACTAGGTAGCAGGGGCTGGCTGGTGATTCAGCACTGTGGTGGAGGATTTCCCTCCTGGTCCTCTGCAAAGCAGAAACCCACCTTTTAGGGAGAAGAAAAGCAACTCTGCCTCTGTCAAACCCCTACTCCTCCACTACCCAGGGAGGGCGAGTTATGAGTCTCACTTGGTGGATAATGGTCAAACACTGGTGCTTGTCCCCTGAGTCCCTCCTGGAGGAATGCCACACCAGGGATAACTGGGGTTTTTTGTGATCCTCTTGGCAGATCCCATAGAGCCTAAATAGTGTGTGAGTTAACAGCCAAGAACTGGGCAGTTCCTGAGCATGAGTTCCCTTTTCAGTTACCCTTGAGCTTTACTGTTTCCTGTCAAGGGTGAAGAACCCTTTTAATTCTAGGAATTAGTGGATGGACTTCATCCTGCAGCCTTTTCCCCAGCCATGCTGTGTTTGTAGGGGATCCAGAAAGGTTTCCAACCCTGGAAATGCATTGTAAGAAAATATTACCTGATGGGTAAGAAAACTGTAGGACGTGGGTGGTGCTTGCCAATAACAACAATGTGAAATGAGGGAAATCCTGCTCTCTTAGTCCAGGCAGTGATTCCAGTTCCTTGAGCTGTGATGGACAATCTGGAAAAATGGCAGGATCCTTGGGGAAGCTCCATATGCTTGTCCTCTGTTTTGTCTTCTCTCCTGACCAGCTGCTTTGGTCCTGGGAGAGACAGAATGCTGCTCTGCTGGGATCTTCCATGTGACCCACTGGAGCTCAGCTTATTCTGAGGGCTGAAACAGATGGGTGAGGATGAGGAGTCTGATCTCAGTTATAAATAACAGCCAAAATTCCAGAGTATGTGCCCAGAAATGCCAGATGTTGACTTCTAGATCCTGCTCAGTCTGCACAAGTCAAATTTACATTGTCTGGCTTCTCAGCCTTGATTCGCCCTGGCCGTGGCATCCTGGACATTCCCAATGGAAGTGGTGCATGGTGCCAAACTTCTCCTTTGTTTTGTCAGCCCTGGTGCCCAGAGCTCTCCAGCACAGCCATCAGGGCACTCTGCCAGCCCCAGCATTTGCTCTCCGACAGCCCCCGTGTCGCTCCTGGTGCCGCTCGAAGCTTTCCAGCCTTGCAGGAAATCGATTCTTTCTATTTTCATCCCTGCCTTCGGTTCTGGAAAGTAGGACAGGGAAAGGGAACCAGCTCACGATTCCTGGCACTGCAAAGCAGCGTCGAGGCAGCAGCGAGAGCTCCGAGCCTGTGAACAGATCACAGAGATGTTCCAACGGCGCTGCAGAGCTGGGATCACATTTCCTAGATTAGCTTTGCCTCTCCAGAGCTGAGAGAGTTTTTAGAATTCTAACTTGAAATTTAGACCTGCTGGAGCTGATGGAAATTGTGCTGAGAAATTGCTTGGGAGCTGTGGGGGCTGAACTGTGAGACAACCTTTGGCATGCTGAAAAATAGAAGGAGTTTTTTTTCTGCATCTTTCTTTTAATTCTCTAAGTTGGCCCCTGGGGTTTAAATATATTCAGAACCCATCATCCATCTCCAGCTGGAGTTCTGCTATCTTTATATGTGTATTTTAACCAGAGCCCTTCTGAAGTGGCTGGAGCCTTCCCCAGGGTTATCTGCCTTACAAAGTGAGCTCAGCAATGTGCCCTCTTTTCAAAATGCTCCCCTCGGGCAGCGGGAATATTGTGCGTCATTACTCGAGCTTGATGTGGCCCTGTGGAATAGGTCAGGAGGGGCTGTGCTTCTGGATTTTTCTGTGTTTGTTCTCATGGGCCATTAAAATAAGTGTTCCTTGACTGCAGGAGAAGTGGAGGTGAAAAGGAGAGAAGGAAGGTGCTCAGTGGAAGCACCGTGGTCACCCAGGGCAGGCAGGCAGGAGGGAGCCCTTGATCAGAGCAGCGATGCCTGAACGACGTTTTTCTTCAATACTCAACTGATCCCAAGCCTTGGAAGCTCAAACAGCCTCAGGATAAAGCTTCAGTTCCCCTGTGTGCTTTAGCAGCATTTGTAAAGGTGCCAGGCACTGTTGCAAGGGAGCATTTA